ATGTTTGGCCTATAGTTACAATTTTTTCTTTTCTTTTTCTTTTTTCTTTTATTTAAATAGGAGGGTATATTGGTCATTTTACATCAAAAAACAGTGAAAAGGACGTTCGACGCAAAGAAAGGTGGAAATAGGGCAAAAATGCCAAAAAATGAAACGTAGGAACGTTTTCCACAGTACACTCGAAAGGTAGGGACGTTTTGTGCCAATTATCCTAACTAATACTTCTAATTTCTAATACAAACTGTACAAGCAGTCCCGCAAAGTACAGACTATTAGAGGGAAAAAAATTAGGCAAATAAATTTAAGGTAATTGAAAGATGAAGCAACACGAACGACCATCAACTATCTGCATAAGCAAAATATATTGAAGAATCCACACACTAATGACATTTGCCTTTAGAGCAGACTGATAAAACTATGATAAGAATCAGAGCAACGATAATGCCAAGGATTATCAGCTTTATCTTCATGTTCTGCAACCACATTTTCCTCCTCATTTGTGTTCCTTGTGTCTTAAAGTGTTGTGCCTATCAGCAGCAAAAAGCAAGTCAACATTCCCACAATTAAAGAACCTCATCCGTGTAAGTATACTGATGCATCAGTAAAAGCAATGAATCCAGCGACTAGATAAACCTAAGAGATTTAACATAAACACTCGAAATACTGAAATTCTGAAGTGAGCTGAAACACCAAAGAAGAGAACTGTGTTTGGAAGAATATGAATGACCCAGAGGGGCAGTTGGCTTCAGAGCTTTTAGGCTATGTAAACTGTTAAGGAATACCCAACCCCAACTTATGTTCCCCAAAAGTAACAAGTTCACCAAAAGAATATTTACGAACATCTAGACCACAAATGATGTCTGACAATTACCAAACAACATATAAGATAATAAAAATCTATCGCGTTTCTATCAGCAGGGCTTCAGCTGTTCTTAGTTTTGAACATTTATTTTAAAGCTGAGTTATTTAGTTGTGCTGATCCCGATCAATTTATTGGTTATAAAACTATAAAGGCCTCAACTCGAGGCATTAACCTGCAGTTCAAATCATTGTCATCGTAGCTAGTAGACATTGCATCGCATGGTACACAAGATGTGTCATTTTAGAATCAACACCGAAAAATGTGTACCAAATAAAGTCTATGCTCTCCACAAGAAATAAGCACAAGAATTAGCACACCTGAGAGCTAAGGCTATCTGTTTTATCTACCAGAAGCTCAATTTTCTCTCCACGGTCTAGAACCTGCAGAAAGATATGCCTTAATCAAGAATCAATGCACCACCTAGAAACTAAAATAACATATTACTGAAAAATGAAAATTGTAAAACATACATAATTTTGTAGGAATGTGAAGTATGGTTTTACCTTCTCAATATTTTCCATCATCACCCCTTTGACTTCTGAAACCTGAGCTTTCACCTTTGCAAGCTTGCTGATCTCCTCTGGATGATCCACACAGTACTGCATTT